GTAAAGGGTCTTAAATCAGGTCACTTCATCATCATAACCCTCCCTTCGAGGCGGTCATTTCTAGCATATTTGCCCATAACTTCTTATTTTTTGTCTGTTTGATGTCATCATTTTAAAAATATTAGATCAGATGATACTGGGTACTCAAGTAGCCTTCTAATCAGATACTTTTTTTTACCCTTACTTGAGTCATAAACCCTATATCAGGAAAAAATTGTCCTCGGTTTGTGTCCTTCCGGTGAGCTTTGCAGATTTGGGAAAATGTCATCAGGCAGTAATCATTGTTAAATTCATAATTATTCTTGGAGAGAGACCAACTCTTAACTGTCCCTGGGAGCCCCGTAATGTATAGCGTCATTTTAAAATGGGGATGTCCGCGACACGGTTTACATGCAGGTAGCGGTGCTGCAGCTGCTTTATATAGTCATTCATGCGCAAAAAATTCCCCCTTCCTCGTACTTCAAAAAGATCCCATACTTTAACATTGCCTTTTCCACTAATTTTGAGGGCACGGTGTGGGTCACAGGAGGGATGTAAATGGTCTTAAATCAGGTCACTTCATCATCATAACCCTCCATTTGAGGTGGTCATTTCTACATTCTGATATGTCATTCATGCGCAAAAAAATTCCCCCACCCCCGTACTTCAAAAAGCTCCTATACTTTAACATTGCCTTTTCCACTAATTTTGAGGGCACGGTGTGGGTCACAGGAGGGATGTAAATGGTCTTAAATCAGGTCACTTCATCATCATAACCCTCCCTTCGAGGCGGTCATGTCTTTATTCTTATAAGTCATTCATACACAAAAAAAGCCCCCGAAATGTTCTTCAAAAAGATCCCATATTTTAACATTGCCTTTTCCACTAATTTTGAGGTCACGGTGTGGGTCACAGGAGGGATGTAAAGGGTCTTAAATCAAGTCACTTCATCTTCATAACCCTCCCTTCGAGGCGGTCATTTCTAGCATATTTGCCCATAACTTCTTATTTTTTGTCTGTTTGATGTCATCATTTTAAAAATATTAGATCAGATGATACTCGGTACTCAAGTAGCCTTCTAATCAGATACTTTTTTTTACCCTTACTTGAGTCATAAACCCTATATCAGGAAAAAATTGTCCTCGGTTTGTGTCCTTCCGGTGAGCTTTGCAGATTTGGGAAAATGTCATCAGGCAGTAATCATTGTTAAATTCATAATTATTCTCGGAGAGAGACCAACTCTTAACTGTCCCTGGGAGCCCCGTAAAGAATAGCGTCATTTTAAAATGGGGATGTCCGCGACACGGTTTACATGCAGGTAGCGGTGCTGCAGCTGCTTTATATAGTCATTCATGCGCAAAAAATTCCCCCTTCCTCGTACTTCAAAAAGATCCCATACTTTAACATTGCCTTTTCCACTAATTTTGAGGGCACGGTGTGGGTCACAGGAGGGATGTAAATGGTCTTAAATCAGGTCACTTCATCATCATAACCCTCCATTTGAGGCGGTCATTTCTACATTCTGATATGTCATTCATGCGCAAAAAATTCCCCCACCCCCGTACTTCAAAAAGCTCCTATACTTTAACATTGCCTTTTCCACTAATTTTGAGGGCACGGTGTGGGTCACAGGAGGGATGTAAATGGTCTTAAATCAGGTCACTTCATCATCATAACCCTCCCTTCGAGGCGGTCATGTCTTTATTCTTATAAGTCATTCATACACAAAAAAAGCCCCCGAAATGTTCTTCAAAAAGATCCCATATTTTAACATTGCCTTTTCCACTAATTTTGAGGTCACGGTGTGGGTCACAGGAGGGATGTAAAGGGTCTTAAATCAAGTCACTTCATCTTCATAACCCTCCCTTCGAGGCGGTCATTTCTAGCATATTTGCCCATAACTTCTTATTTTTTGTCTGTTTGATGTCATCATTTTAAAAATATTAGATCAGATGACACTCGGTACTCAAGTAGCCTTCTAATCAGATACTTTTTTTTACCCTTACTTGAGTCATAAACCCTATATCAGGAAAAAATTGTCCTCGGTTTGTGTCCTTCCGGTGAGCTTTGCAGATTTGGGAAAATGTCATCAGGCAGTAATCATTGTTAAATTCATAATTATTCTCGGAGAGAGACCAACTCTTAACTGTCCCAGGGAGCCCCGTAATGTATAGCGTCATTTCAAAATGGGGATGTCCGCGACACGGTTTACATGCAGGTAGCGGTGCTGCAGCTGCTTTATATAGTCATTCATGCGCAAAAAATTCCCCCTTCCTCGTACTTCAAAAAGATCCCATACTTTAACATTGCCTTTTCCACTAATTTTGAGGGCACGGTGTGGGTCACAGGAGGGATGTAAAGGGTCTTAAATCAGGTCACTTCATCATCATAACCCTCCCTTCGAGGTGGTCATGTCTAGCATTGTCACGGTGTGAAAATTTAACCTCACGGTTATTGTGACGTAAATTATCACGGTTTTCGGTATTATCGTGGTATTTTTTTAAACGTGTTACATTTTCAGACAACTACATAAACCCTGAATATCAGGAAAAAATTGTCCTCGGTGTGTGTCCTTCCGGTGAGCTTTGCAAATTTGGGAAAATGTCATCAGGCAGTAATCATTGTTAAATTCATAATTATTCTCGGAGAGAGACCAACTCTTAACTGTCCCTGGGAGCCCCGTAATGCATAGCGTCATTTCAAAATGGGGATGTCCGCGACACGGTTTACATGCAGGTAGCGGTGCTGCAGCTGCTTTATATAGTCATTCATGCGCAAAAAATTCCCCCTTCCCCGTACTTCAAAAAGATCCCATACTTTAACATTGCCTTTTCCACTAATTTTGAGGTCACAGTGTGGGTCACAGGAGGGATGTAAAGGGTCTTAAATCAGGTCACTTCATCATCATAACCCTCCCTTCGAGGTGGTCATGTCTAGCATTGTCACGGTGTGAAAATTTAACCTCACGGTTATTGTGACCAAAATTATCAGGGTTTTCGGTATTATCGTGGTATTTTTTTAAACGTGTTACATTTTCAGACAACTACATAAACCCTGAATATCAGGAAAAAATTGTCCTCGGTTTGTGTCCTTCCGGTGAGCTTTGCAAATTTGGGAAAATGTCATCAGGCAGTAATCATTGTTAAATTCATAATTATTCTCGGAGAGAGACCAACTCTTAACTGTCCCTGGGAGCCCCGTAATGCATAGCGTCATTTCAATATGGGGGTGTCTGCGACACGGTTTACATGCAGGTTGCAGTGTTTCGGCTGCTTTATATAGCAACTCGTTGCATTCTCCCTCAACCCAAATCCTCGGATCACGCATTTTAGTTAAAACGCTAACGTTAACTTGCCTTGCGTTTAATGTAGAGTTGTGGGTGATGGTCACGCAGATGTGTCATGAGATCAAAAAGATCCCATACTTTAACATTGCCTTTTCCACTAATTTTGAGGTCACTGTGTGGGTCACAGGAGCAATGTAAAGGGTCTTAAATCAGGTCACTTCATCATCATAACCCTCCCTTTGAGGCGGTCATATCTGCATTCTGATACGTCATTCATGCGCAAAAAAGACCCCACCCCCATACTTCAAAAAGCTCCTATACTTTAACATTGCCTTTTCCACAAGTTTTGAGGTCACGGCGTGGGTCACAGGAATGATGTAAAGGGTCTTAAATCAAGTCACTTCATCATCATAACCCTCCCTTCGAGGCGGTCATGTCTTTATTCTGATATGTCATTCATACGCAAAAAAGCCCCCCCAAACGTTCTTCAAAAAGATCCTATACTTTAACATTGCCTTTTCCACTAATTTTGAGGTCAGTGTGTGAGTCACAGGAGTGATGTAAATGGTCAGAAATCAGGTCACTTCATCGTCATAACCCTCCCTTTAAGGCGGTAGTGTCTGCATTCTGATACGTCATTCATGCGCAAAAAATTCCCCCACCCCCGTACTTCAAAAAGCTCCTATACTTTAACATTGCCTTTTCCACTAATTTTGAGGTCACGGTGTGGGTCACAGGAGGGATGTAAATGGTCTTAAATCAGGTCACTTCATCATCATAACCCTCCCTTTGAGGCGGTCATTTCTACATTCTGATATGTCATTCATGCGCAAAAAATTCCCCCACCCCCGTACTTCAAAAAGCTCCTATACTTTAACATTGCCTTTTCCACTAATTTTGAGGTCAAGGTGTGGGTCACAGGAGGGATGTAAAGGGTCTTAAATCAGGTCACTTCATCGTCATAACCCTCCCTTCGAGGCGGTCATGTCTTTATTCTGATATGTCATTCATACGCAAAAAAGCCCCCCCAAATGTTCTTCAAAAAGATCCCATACTTTAACATGGCCTTTTCCACTAATTTTGAGGTCACGGTGTGGGTCACAGGAGTGATGTAAATGGTCAGAAATCAGGTCACTTCATCGTCATAACCCTCCCTTTAAGGCGGTAGTGTCTGCATTCTGATATGTCATTCTTAGTCTAAAGAGCCCCCTCAAATGTCCCCAAAAAAGCTCCTATACTTTTAACATTGTCCAAAATCCAAAAACTCTCCATGTCCAAAATGTGCGTAAGCCAGCTCCTTAGGTCAACTCAAAGTTGCCCACATTTTCCCACTACTTTTTCCTTTAAAAATCCCAAAGTTTGAATGGCAAGTTACTTTTGCAGTTTTGCAACCCCATTTTGTGGGTAAGCAAGCTTTATAAATGACACCCCAGGCCACTATAAAACTTACTGATGTACATCTGCAGCATGCAAGGACCATTTACAGGGGTTGATTTTATTTGTCACAGTTTTCACCCCTTCAGAGTTTGTAGGTATGAACGTTCTTGTTCTCTGCACCATCACAGTTAATTCATTGGTTGAGCCCCAATACATAAAAAATAAATTAAATGAACAGGATAAATATTATATATATAATGTGTGTGTATGTATGTATGTGTGTGTAAGCTGTTGAAATATATGCTCATATATTTATTAATAAATATCTAATATATACATATGAGACTCAAATGGTCAAGTGTGATTTTAGTTTTCAGCAGAAACAGACTTTTTTGGGAGTGGGGGTGGGGAGTGGCTCTGCACCTGCACTGGACAGGGGAGCAAAAGTTCATGATGCATTCAGGGAAAATTGGTGTGTCCAACTATACTGAAATAAAAACATCTAAAGAGGTTTATTTGTGAATGCTATGAGTTTTCTGTAAAATGATTATTGCTTAAATATTGCACATGAAATTAGCTCATGCCTGAAGTCTGTTAAGACATTATCAGCTGGAAAACCCTAAATTTTTAATGTATCAAGTTTGCAGTCTCATTGTTCGTGAAAGCAGCATGTGCATTGTAGATGGAAAGTACCGGAGCTGCCCTGGATCTCTCCAACTTTGTCAGTCTTTGACTAATTCTACAGAGGAAAAGAGGAATAACTCCACAGCCCAAAAAGGTAACATAATTTAAAATATTCCATGAAATCATTTACACTTTTTTTAATAAGACAATTACAGCTCTTATCATGCTAAAACAATTTGAACTGAATTGAGCTGTGCTTGTGAGTTTTAGGTAATTTTCTATCAGAGACTATTGTTTTCTTTCAACTTTAAGGTATGTTTAAAGAAATAAAGACACGCTTTACCTACTTACATTTTTAAAACTTATTTTTAAATTAAAACAAAGTGGCTGTCTGCATGGTAAAGCTACGGGGCCTGAAGTGAGCTGTATTTGTGAGGACTCAAAGTGTAGTTTTCAGTAATTTTGTATCAGGGACATGGTTTTGTCTTATGTAACATTAATAATGCTGTACATTTCAACCAGAGCAGTGTTGTTCTATTTTGTGATAGGGTTCATTAACATTATAAAAAGGATTCAGTGTGATGGAAGGTGTACAATGAAATCTAAAAAGAGAGAAATATTATTTTGTTGGGAAATCTAATCTTTCATAGGCAATGTGGATACAATAATCAGTTTTTGACATTTAAAAAAACCCACTAGTGACGTGTTGGCCACGAACGAAACGGCTCTCAGAGCCGACTTGTTTATGTGACCGTTAGGAGAAAGGTCCCTTCTGCAGGAACTGGCTCCCTCTTGGAGAAGTCAAAGTGAGTTACATAGACTGTACCCGCAGGCCCTGGAGCCACTAGAACACAGCAAAACTTGAGCGCACATGTGCAGCGGGCCTCAGTGAAGCTGACCTCCAGTAAAAGCAAATAGGCTGTGTGGTTAGTTTCTGAGATATTACACTTTATTTTATAGGTTATTCTTAACCCTAACCCAGACTGCACCAAAACAGTTCAAAGTAGTCTACTTTTTAGTGCTATGTTTGTGCTGGTTTGTGCTGTTGAAATATAATTTGTGTTGCTATGGTTTCTGAGATATAACAAGTTTTATTGTTGTGTGATGCTCCAAAACATTCCAAAATAGTCTACATTTTAGTTCTTCGTTTGTGCAGTTAAAATTGGGGCGACAGTGGCACAAACCTATTTGCTTTTACTTTTCAAGTGGGGGAGATCAGCTTCACTGAGCTCCGATGCTGTGAAGGCAGGGAGAGGGGTGGCATGCACAAAATGCCTGTGAGACAAATTACATTAACTGATAAGACCTGTAAATATTGGTGGGGACAAATCTGTAAGAGGAGAAAGGAAAATCAAACAAAGCTTCAGAAAGGTGAGGACATGAGTGAAAACAGGACAGGCACCAAGGTTTGGACAAATTTTAACTACAGTGACAATTAAAAGACAGAGTGTAGATTGTGCAAAGGGTAAATATATCCAAAAGGCTATAATAGTTCAAAACTAATACAAATTTTACTTGCAGAGTTTGTTTTTGTCATTTAAAATGTGTTTATGTAGCTCTCTGCTTCATGTTGAATAAAATAAGTTATTTAAACAATAAACACTTGATAAAATGTATATTGTAGATTAGTAATTCAGTTTACATACAGTTTTATATAATTTCTGGTGATAAATTCATTTAGGAAACGAAAAATATGAGGAGCTGTTTAAGAGCCGAAAGAGCCGGTTCATTTTAGTGAGCCGAGCTGTAAGACCCTAACCTAGCAGCAGCCAGATCTCTATGTGTAGCCTCGTGTAGAGTCTACACATTTAGATCTGGACTCTGCAGCAGAAACCGGCTGAAAGAGGGAGGGCTGTGTGGTAGAATATTTTGAACTGACTGAAGGACGCGCAAGGTAGTGCCCGGCTGGCACTAGCTGGCTGCTGCCAGGATAGGGCTCTTGATACGATCGTCAAAACGAACTCCCACCCTACAGCAAAGTGCTGACACACAATTGGATTGACCCATTTTGGGCCGGATGCCGGACGCTTTTAACTAGTGATGGGAACCCTGGATCTTTTAAGAGAACCAGTTCTTACGGCCAGCTGTAACACACCAAACATGGCTTTTTTGCTAGATTGGTTATCTACACTGAACAAAAATATAAACGCAACACTTTTGTCTTTGCTCCCATTTTTCATGAGCTGAACTCAAACAGTTGAAACTTTTTCTACATACACCAAACACCCATGACCCTCAAATATTATTCTGAAATCTGTCTACATGTGTGTTCTCGAGCACTTTTTCTTTACCAAGATAATCCATCCCACCTCAAAGGTGTGGCAAATCAAGGGGCTGATTAGACAGCTTGAATAATGTAAAGGAGTGCCTTAGACTGCCCTTCATATTTCAAACTTTGCTAACTTTATTAATAACTCTGCTAAATAGTCATAGCCATAGTTCAAATTATTGATAAACTTGTGTTAAATCATCTAATCTGACATCTTTCCAGACATGCAGAGCCAATGCCCCTCAGGAGCTGGGATTCCAGAGGATTTCAATGAGAAAGAGAAAACAGGTGAGTGACTTCCACATTCACGTGATTGTATGAGTTGTTGTGACTCCTGGTCTATCCACTAACTATATTGGCAGACATCACTTAAAGAGCAAGTCACCCCCAAATCAACTTATTTTTTGCTGATAAACTGTATCAATGAGTGTCTAATAGTGCTGTAGAAATGTGTGGTCATTATTAGGGCTTTTTAGTGCATCTTATTTAGAGTTTAAAAATTCAGCCTAAGACAGTCCACCAGTCAGCAAGCTGGGTTCTCTGTCGGAAACCTACACTCACCCTTTCCCTCCGTGATTATGGGAAATGTCCGTTCTCTTCTCAATAAGATGGACAAGCTCACAGCACTGACCAGGTTGCAGCAAGACTACAGACAATGTAGTCTGTTATTTTTTAAGGAAACGTGGACGGATGAGCTCATAGCTGACTGAGGTTTCACTGGGAGAATTTAAACTCACGTGGGCCGACAGGAGCGTGGAGTGTGAAGCGCAAGAGTGGGGGTCTGGTTGTGTTTAATAATGAGAAATGGTGCAACCTAGCGTATGTGACCATTAAAAATAAACTCTGCACAAATGACATTGAGTTACTGGCTGTTGGTCTCCAGCCCATTACATCCCGAGAGAGTTTTCACATGTAATTGCGCCAGACGCCCCTCCCTGGGTTGCCACCTTACCGCGGTGAGAGGGTTTGTGTGTCCCAATGATCCTAGGAGCTATATTGTCTGAGGCTTATGCCTCTGGTAGGGTCACTCATGGCAAACAGGTCCTAGGTGAGGGATCAGACAAAAAGCAGCCCAATGACCCATTATGATGAATAATATAAATTGACACAGTGTTCACTCACCCGGATGTGGGTCACCGGGGCCCCACTCTGGAGCCAGGTCTGGAGGTGGGGCACGTCGGCGAGCGCCTGGTGGCTGGGCTTTCACCCAGCCCGGCCGGGCACAGCCCAAAGAGAAAAGGTGGGTCCCCCTTCCAATGGGCTCACCACTTGTGGGAAGAGCCAAAGGGGTCAGGTGCAATGTGTGATGGGTGGAAGCCGAAGGCTCAGATGCGGTCTGATCCTTGGCTACAGAAGCTGGCTCTTGGTACGTGGAATGTCACCTCGACTAGATATAGTCGGACTCACATCAATACATGGGTCTGGCTCTGGAACCAGATTCCTTGAGAGGGGCTGGACACTCTACCACTCTGGAGTTGCCCCCACTGAGAGGCGCCGAGCGGGGTGGGCATACTAGTTGCCCCCCATCTTGGTGCCTGTACATTGGGGTTTACCTTGGTGGACGAGAGGGTAGCCTCCCTCTGCCTACGTGTGGGGGGACGGGTTCTGACTATTGTCTGTGCTTATGCACCAAACTACAGTTCAGACTACCCACCCTTTTTGGAGTCCTTGGAGGAGGTGCTGGAAAGCACTCCTTCTGGTGACTCCCTCATTCCGCTGGGGGACTTTAACGCTCACGTGGGCAACGACAGTGAGACCTGGAGAGGTGTGGTGGGGAGGAACGGCCCCCCTGATCTGAATTTGAGTGGTGTTTGTTGTTGGATATCTGTGCTCGTCATGGCTTGTCTATAACTAACACAATTTTCAGACATAAAGGTGTCCATATGTGCTCTTGGCACCAGGATACCTTAGGCCGCAGCTCGATGATCGACTTTGTTGACATTTCATCTAATCTGCAACCGCATGTCTTGGACACTCGGGTAAAGAGAGAGGCGGAGCTGTCAACTGACCACTACCTGGTGGTGAGTTGGCTTTGATGGTGGGGGAAGATGCCGGTCAGACCTGGCAGGCCCAAAGGTATTGTGAGGGTCTTCTGGGAACGTCTGGCAGAGTCTCCTGTCAGAAGAAGTTTAAATTCTCACCTCGGACAGAACTTCCAAAATGTTCTGGGGGAGGCGGGGGACATGGAGTCCGAGTGAGCCATGTTCCGTGCTTTCATTGTCGAGGTGGCTGACCGGAGCTACGGCCGCAGGGTTGTTGGTGTCTGTCGTGGTGGCAACCCCCAAACCCACTGGTGGACACCAACGGTTAGGGATGCCGTCAAGCTGAAGATAAAGAGTCCTATAGGGTCTGTTTGGCCTGTGGGACTCCAGAGGCAGCTGATGGGTACCGGCAGGCCAAGCGGAATGCGGCCCAGGTTGTCACAGCATGCTGCATAGTGTTGGAACCCAAGTTTTTTTCATTTTTATTCGTGTTTTTTTAGTGGTCGAAGGTTACATTACTAGATTACTGCCTATGTGTATATACATGTACCTATATCATAATTTTCTTCTGATTATCCCCTTAAGTGTTGGTGCTGCTGTAACAAGTGAATTTCCCCACTGTGGGATCAATAAAGTGTATTCTATTCTATTCTTCCTAAAGGATTATTAGGAACACCATACTAATACGGTGTTTGACCCCCTTTTGCCTTCAGAACCGTCTTAATTCGACGTGGCAGTAGCCACATTTACATGCGCATATTTCATCAGATTGAACGCCCAATCAGATAAAAAATTCTGCATGTAAACATGTCAATCAAATATTCTGATCCGATTTGGCCCGATCGGATTGAAATTTCAATTCGATTGAGGGAGGTGGTTTTGTCCGATCATCATTCTGATTGACGTGCATGTACACAGCTATTCGGATTGTTGGGGTAAAATAATGCCCACTGCGCATGTGTGCAACAGCGAGCGGGCCTCTCCGCTGTCATTTGGACTGCCTGACTTCAAAAATGACAGCGTAATCAATGAGCAGAGGCTTTTAAATTTGATAACAAGCCGTCCCGTTTCAGTAATATTTAATTCAGAACTTGCATTTTGTAGAAGTAAAATAAAAATCTGATTATTGCACAAATCACTCGACAAACATTTTCAAATCTGTACTGGAAATACCCAAGTTTATTGCGGAGGTTGCAGCGCACAGATCCCCGTTTCTGTCAGCTTTGAACGCAGCAACTTCTGCAGCAGGTGATGGAGACGCCAGAGACGCTTGTAAAGAAGACAGGATAATATCAGTTTTACAGACCTGATTGGAGGCTGATGTTGGGTAGGAAAACATCCTCGGTTAAATATTCTGGACAACAGTAAAGTCCGTGTTAAAAGCACATTAACGCAGATGACCTGAGATGCGGTTCGTTAATGATGAACACAGGCTTCTAAACTTTCTGAACGTCTTCTGTTGTTTTATTTTAAACAGATTTTTCTCAACAGTTTCAGCTGATTGTCACATGTTAAGAATAATAAGCCACAACAGAGCTCAGTAATAAAACATGAGTCTAAACGCCCCCATCCCCACTCTGCGCCACAGTGCAGCGCAACGGCATATCTGTCACTTCAGACCCACGGACCAGCTGATCAAGAGGCAGAAACATAACCCTCCCTTATTTTAATCAACAATAAAAATGCAGCAAAGCATAGATCTGCAGTTATTCACTGAAGAAAACGTAACTTCTATGAGCAAAATAAAAATATTGAAGTGAATAAATGAATCGGGAAAGCAGGAAGAATTGTTATTTCTGTTTTTACATTTTTCATTTCGTTTCATGGTGTTTGTTTACAATTTTTCTTCCGGGAAAGGCAACTTTCTGCGCATGCTCAACCTATTTAATCGGATTAAATGCTTGATGCATTTATAAGCACGGCATGATCAGATCATTTCAGTTTGTGTCCATGTGAACAGTGATTCAGAAATTCCGATCAACCAAGATTTGAATTGGATTGAGGAAATTTGGTGCATGTAAACATGGCTACTGAGTCAACAAGTTGCTGAAAGCATTCTTTAGAAATGTTTGCTCATATTTATAGGATAGCATCTTGCAGTTGATGGAGATGTGTGGGATGCACATCAAGGGCACGAAGCTCCCGTTCCACCACATCCCACAGATGCTCTATCGGGTTTAGATCTGCTGACTGTGGGGGCCATTGTAGTACAGTGAACTCATTGCCATGTTCAAGAAACCAATTTCAAAAGATTGGAGCTTTATGACATGGTGCATTATCCTGCTGGAAGTAGCCATCAGAGGATGGGTACATGGTGGTCATGAAGGTATGGACATGGTCAGAAACAATGCTCAGGTAGCCTGTGGCATTTAAACCATGCCCAATGGGCACTAAGGGGCCTAAAGTGTACCAAGAAAACATCCCCCACACCATGACACCACCACCACCAGCCTGCACAGTGGTAACAAGGCATGATGGATCCATGTTCTCATTCTGTTTACACCAAATTCTGACTACCATTTGAATGTCTCAACAGAAATCCAGACTCATCAGACCAGCAACATTTTTCCAGTCTTCAACCATCATATTTTGGTGATCTTGTGCAAATTGTAGCCTCTTTTTCCTATTTGTAGTGGAGATGAGTGGTGCCCCGTGGGGTCTTCTGCTGCTGTAGCCCATCCACCTCAAAGTTGTGCATGTTGTGGCTTCACAAATGCTTTGCTGCATTCCTCGGTTGTAACGAGTCACTTCAGATATTAAATAAATAAATATCATAATAATAATAATAATATACGGAATATTAAACATTGAACTAAACTGAATACGAGTTCAACGTACCATTACACCCCTAGTAATGATTGTGGGTTGAGACACCTGAATCAGAATGCGAAAACAGTATGACTCAGTGGATTTAAAAATACACACAGATGATGGGAAAAATCAGAGTATGGGGAAGCTGGCAACTCCTCCTTTTGTTGCATTTTTAAAATGGGAAGTGTGGGTGAAGTTATACTCTGGGGTGACTTGCTCTTTAAGGAAATTATTACTGTTATGTCTATAGCTTGGAATTAGATCTATTTTTCTTTTCTTTGCAGCATCTTTCAAAAGATAAAAGCTGAGAAACAAAAGCAATGGGCTCGACCAAAGTTCTGAAGGTCAGTCAATGATCAATGGCTTACTGAGATTGGCGTGCCTCCGTTTCTTTTTATAATGCTTTAAGTGGATTTTTTTTTTCATAAATTTCATATCACTCTAGATGAACCCACCTTGTGCACCCAAAGGCCTACAGGGAAATCAAAGAAGAAGCAGACCAACAAAGGAACACCCACCCATTCCCCTTCCCTGCTCACTGTCCATGGTTTTACTCAAGGTTTGGTTCAGATTTTCAAATATTTAAGTAACTGAAAATGGCTAACATGCAATTCATTCTCCCCATAAAAGACTGAAAGAGATTACCTTAAAAAAAGAAACTGAGGTTTGACATTTTACAACAAGTATGAACAACTTAACTACTTAGGGGCAGCAGTAGCTCAGGAGGTAGAGAGGATTGTCCAGAAACCGGAAGGTTGCAGGTTTGATCCCAGCTCCAACCAGAGAGTGCTGCTGTCGTGGCCTGCTGAACACTGGCGCCACCGGTCCCTCTGACCACCACCAGCAGGCAAAGCGAGTTAAGTGCCTTGCCCAAGGAAACAACAGCAGCAGATTGTGTTGTGAAGCGCCTTGGGGGCCTTAGAAGGCGCTATACCTATACAGGCCATTTATTCCCATTAATTTCACATTGTTGTCCTTATTATAAATACAGAAATGTATTTGGGATGTTTGAGTTCACATAAACCTTTATAGAAAGATGGAAGTTCATCAAATCATTACCATATTAACATTTTAGGCACAAAGATACTTGACTTCAGTTTTCCTTCAGTTAGATGCTAAACTTTTTCTGTTTATCAACAACAATTATAGATCTGTTGATACATTTCCTAGCTACAATTCAGAGTCTAAAAAAACCTTGTATTAAGCCATATAATCTAAAATGTTTTTGTAGATCATCCAGATATGATGAGCCAAGAACCTTCAGGAGCTGAGTGGTCTAAGGAGTCAAATGGAAAGGACAAAACAGGTGCGTGGTTTCCACATTCACACACACGGACAGAGATGTTTTGCTTTCGGACTTCTCAGTCTCCTGGGGAGTGTTGTAAAGCAGTTCCCCGCCAGGACAACAGGGCGTAGCACTGCTCTGTGTTATCCTGCCCAAGATAGTGCATTTAATATTATATAATAAACACAGAAACTGTGCAAATAACAAAAGTCAGCAGGGATAAAAAAGCTGTTTACTTGGTTTGTGGTGATCTTGGTAGTTATAAAGTTTAACAGCTGCAGAAAGGAAGGATTAATGACAAAATGCCTTCATACACCTAGAATGCGTAAGTCTGCTACTGAAGGAACTCTCCAGCTCCGTTGTCAGCTTCACGCTTGGGATGGGAAACATTGTCTAACCCCCAAATTCCACTACCTCCGCTCCGACACGAACGCCGGAGCAAAATCGGTCCCGTTGTAGTCAATCAGAGCAATTCCACTACTGCGGCTGTGCTCCGGCAGTGCGGCGCCGTGCGCCGTCCTCTGTTCCGGCGTCCGGCAAAAATAGAATCGATCCTATTTTCGCCGGACGCCGGAGCACCTCCGCAGTCAATGGACAGAAATCACCATCGCCCAACAGGAAAAGGAGCAAGCACAACTTCCGTTTTTCACAATAAATCGATAAACAAAAGGCGTTTTTTGTTTCATATGCACAGGTTTAACAACTTTTAACAACTATCAGTGGCGGCTGAAGTTTAAATGCACAAAAGTTAGCCATAAATACAGTTTTCACTATCAAAGTAGTCACACTTTGTTGATCCAAACACTGCTGATCTCTACACAAATGATGGGCAGATTAAACAGTTCATGCCGATGCTTCTCCAACACAACGGGGTGTTTGGATCTAACTTCCGCGTTTATTGCTCGGACTGTATCGCAAGATCTTGAAAATCCCGCGCATGCTTGTTTGCCCACCTCAGGTCTCCGCACCGGAGCGGAGCCGTTGTAGAGCGCATACCGGTAAAAATTGAGTTCGGAAGCGAGCGGCTGCGGAAGGCGGGGGCGGACCGCAGCGGAGCGGAGCGGAGGTAGTGGAATTTGGGGGTTACAGACGTTTGAAAAACTTGTAGTAAGTAATTTAATTTCAAATATTTCTGTAGGTCCAACCACGCTGAACCAAGGTCCTTCAGGAACTGGAATCTAAGCCCAGATATAAGCCCAGTAGCTATGTATTTGTGTTTATAAATGTAGGTGTCTTTTTGGGGTTGCTGCGTGATGTTCTTGTGCATTGCAGCAGCGCCATGCAGCAGTTTGTTGTCGTAATGTAGTCCCCGGTCTAAAATAACTCCTGTATTCCTTCCTGTTATTTCATTTGCAGGCTGTGATTATTGAGGTCACCAAAAAATAGGATCCTTACAGAGTATTTTTCATCACTTTTTAATATGAAATGCTAGCTAAAGCTAACCAAATATTGCCATCTTAGGAAATTGACTGGGCTGGTTAGAAAAGGGGTTTTCCCACTGATCCAAGTCTGTAACCTTGCACTGCAAGATGAATTTTTGCAAGATTTGGAGTTTTCTGGATGGACCGGACACGGACTGAGCTGTGAGCTCCCGGCTGCTGAGTTTTGTGTGTAGGGAGGGGCGGGTGCTCTATTTGACTGGCCAATCACAGAGCGTGAAGACAGTCAGTTACCCAATGAGGATTTTCCTTCAGCACGATTACAGATATTTACGATTTTTACTCGTTTCACTTGTCAAAAATGCTTTATCCGTACCGGATACTCTTCTGAAACGAGTATCCGGCTCATCCCTAATCCAAACAGTCAGAATTGAAAACACAACCTAAGCATGATGTCATGACTTTAACTAATAAAAGCATGTTTTTTTTTTTTTTTTTTTTTTTTGTTACAGACATGGATCAACAGGATTTAACCTCTAAGAAATTCAACCGAAAGATTTGGAGCAAATCTGGGAAAGAAGCGGTTTGGCAACAGCTTTCGGTACATCACTCTTGAAAGAGTTCCTGGTAAAATGCTGTGTGTGAAAGCACTCAGTACAGAGACAGCACTTTAGAACAGAAGTTGGAAAGATGTAAAAAACTGCATCTATAACCACATCCCTGATCAAAAAAGAAAAAGGCTGTAGTTTTTGCGTTAAAAGCAGCAGGAGCTGAGTTAATGCATGTAATGTTACAAGCAGAGCATTTAATGATACCTAGTTATTTTTATTTTATGAGACATTGGAAATATGTTAAAAACTATAATTATAACAGCATTGCAGATCAAAAATGTTACAAGCAGAGCATTTTATGGTACCTAAAGATATTTAAATTTTATTACATGTTGGAAAGATGTTAAAAACTATAAGTAGAACAGCATCACAGTAGCATTGCAGGGATTAATCGTTTTGACTATTAACCCTGGTTAACCCCAAGTAAATAGATCTTCAACACCATCAAACTAAAACAAAAAGACAATAGTGTAACTCGTAAGTACAAAAACAAAACTGAAACTGAACACGCGCCCGCAGCAGAAGCATGATCAGTGAAAACAACCATCGGGACTCCTCCATTTCTACCTCGGAAGAGGTTGAATTCTCCTGTGTGGGAATAGTTTAGATATATTAGATATCATCCCACACAGGAGACTTCAACCGCTTCTTAGGTGGAAATGGAGGAGTCCCGAAGGTTGTTGTCACTGGTTCTGCTTCTGCTGCGTGAGCACGTTCAGTTTCACTTTTGTCTTTGTCCATGAGGGTCATGCCATAGTCCTTTTTTTATTGTTGGTGTGGTAGACATCTTTAAGGGGGGTTATCAGGGGTTAATAGTCAAACTGGTTAATCTCTGCAAGCCTACATCACAGCTCAAAAAAGAAAAAAAACTGTAGTTGATATGTTTTATTTTAAAAGCAGCAGAAGCTGAGTTAATGCATGCAATGTTAAATGCAGAGCATTTAATGGTACCTAAAGTTGTATTAATTTATTAGAAGTTAGAAATATGTCAGAACTACTAGTAGAGCAGCATCACAGCTCAAAAAGAAAATAAAAACAATATTTGAAAATTTTCTTTTTCAAAGCAGAAGGATCTGAGTTCATTTATGTAATTTTATGCACCGTGTTTACTTTATTTGGTATCTAAAATTTATATTTTATCAGCAGATGAATTAGAAAGATTTTAAAAACTGCATGTATAACTGCATTTTAGCTCAAAAAAGAAAAAAGTAAACATATTCAATTTTAAAAGAAACAGGAGCTGAGTTCATATATGTATGTAATGTTTAAAGGTGCCTAAAGTTTATTTTAGTTCAACTGTTGCAGTCACAATTGCAAAGTTTAATGAAATCCTTTTTACTTCAATAAAATAACTACTTTGTAGTAATTTCTGTCATGTTTCCTGTTATTTATGTTCTGTAACTAAGATTTACAGGGAGCTGCACGGCTGAATGCAGTTTGAATCCAGCTTAGTCTTTATGGTGGTTGCATATTTTTTCTATGTATGTCTGGGTTCCTCCAGGATAATTTGATACCTTTCACCATCCAAAATCATTCTATGTTTATTAGTCGATGAGCCGATACCAATATTTGATATTAATATCACTGCTTCTGCAGTACTGCAGACGTTGTACCGATCTGTCGTGGTGAAGAGAGAGCTGAGCCAGAAGGCAAAGCTCTCGATTTACCGGTCGATCTATGTTCCTACCCTCACCTATGGTCATGAGTTTAGGGTAGTGACTGAAAGAACGAGATTGCAGATACAAATGGCCAAAAATAGTTTTCTCCGCAGGGTGGCTGGGCTCTCCCTTAGAGACCCGCTGCTCCTCCACATCGAGTGGAGCCAGTTGAGGTGGCTAGGGCTTCTGGTTAGGATGCTTCCTGGACGCCTCCCTGGTGAGGTTTTCCGGGCACGTCCAACCGGGAGAAGGCCTAAAGGAAGACCCAGGACACGCTGGAGATACTATGTCTCATGGCTGGCCAGGGAACGCTTTGGGATTCCCCCGGAGGAGCCGGCCCAAGTGGCTGGGGAGAGGGAAGTCTGGGCTCCCTTGTTTAGGCTACTGCCCCCACGACCCAACCCCGGATAAGCGGACGACAATGGATGGATGGATGGATGATATCACTGTTATGGCCGATAGCTGATATTTGCTGATACAGATATACTGACATGCTTCTAAAATAAGCAAATTTTGCACTGATTGAAAATTATTAAAGCTGAATTTACGTTGTTATGTACACACACCACACACATTTACGCCTATGAGAATATTAAAATAACTGTCACATGGCTAAACAAATACACACCACCCCCCTAACCATCTGAAACAGATAAACAAATGGAAACAAAATGGAAAAAAAATATTTGTTGTTAATATTGACCAAGTTTTATTTATCGGACCAATACCAATATGTTAAAAATAACTTATTGATGCAGATTGTGCATCCCTAATGTTGATGATTGTCTGTCCTTTTAGTTTGCAGCATTTGTGTGGTGCCTCGATGAACTGTTACCTGCTCAGACTTCACCGCACAACTTGGAATAGGGAATTACAGAAAAAATCCTTATCTAATATTATTTAAGCTAAATCCTGGTGAAGGTTCTCCGAAATGCAGTTTGTGTTATTCCTTGTAGATTTGGGTTGAGGCAACTGAGTTGTTTTGGTTATTTGAATATGTTTCACTTCTTATTTGAGGAGCTTTGTCAATTCTGACCAGAATAAGGAGAGGGATAAGCTCCAGAATCACACTACAATACTTGGGCTTGATGCTCCACTCATTCCACTTTAATATTACAAAGCTCTTTGGATTAGAAGCAAAACATTTTGAAAGTATAAAGAAAATCTAGCAACTTACACACTAAAACAAGAAAATAATTAAGCTAATATATTTTATTTTTTCTTAAGAAAAACTAAACAAAAATTTTAAACTGATAGAGTATTTTATAGGCAAACATTAAAAGCTTCTCTGTGATTCAAGATGTTAAAATTTTACTTTGCTATTGCCAATTTGATAATAAACAAGTGTTACATATTTGTAAAAACAGTTTGATTAGTTAAAATTGCTTTGAAAGTTTAAGAATTTTTAATTTTTCACGTGGAAATTTAATCAAAAATTGGTTAGGGAGGAAATACAGAATTGTGAGGACATCACCTAATCTGCCTAGCAACGGTTGTGGGTCCTCACAAGTACACCAAATAAATATTTTTTTTACTTTGATTTTTCAACAATTTGAAGTGAGATTCTGACTCTTCACTCACATCTAGTGTCAGATTTTCATGGCCCAACACTACAGCTATGCAGGAAGTGGATGTCCTCACAAAGATAGGTAGGGTCAGTGTCCTCACAAGTATATATATACATGTATGTGTGTGTTTGTGTGTGTGTGTGTGTGTTTGTGTGTGTGTGTGTGTGTGTGTGTGTGTGTGTGTGTGTGTGTGTGTGTGTGTGTGTGTGTGTGTGTGTTTGTATGTGTTTGTGCTTGTGTGTGTGTGTGTGTGTGTGTGTGTGTGTGTGTGTGTGTGTGTGTGTGTGTGTGTGTGTGTGTGTGTGTGTGTGTATGTGTGTGTGTGTGTTTGTGCTTGTGTGTGTGTGTGTGTGTGTGTGTGTGTGTGTGTGTGTGTGTGTGTGTGTGTGTGTGTGTGTGTGTATGTGTGTGTATGTGTGTGTGCTTGTGTGTGTGTGTGTGTGTGTTTGTATGTGTTTGTGCTTGTGTGTGTGTGTGTGTTAGTGCTTGTGTGTGTGTGTGTGTGTTTGTGCTTGTGTGTGTGTGTGTGTGTGTGTGTGTGTGTGTGTGTGTGTGTGTGTGTGTGTGTGTGTGTGTGTGTGTGTGTGTGTGTGTGTGTGTGTGTGTGTGCACCAGAGTCTACAGGTGAAACCGGAAAATTTCAATCTGGTGAAAAGTTCCTTCATGTCGGTAATCCAACTTAAAGATGAAACTGATCCTTGAAACAGACTCGTCCTACATGAGTCCAGAAGTTTCAGCCTTTGGTTGTTATAACTGATGATCATGGCTCACCTGTTCAAACACCAGTGTTTGATACTACTACTACTACTACTACTACCACTACTACTACTCACCCTCCACATATTAGCTCAACATCCATGAAACTAACCGAGTTATCGCTATGGCCAGCAGTGACCTTCCATCCATCCTTTGTCTGAACCCGCTTGCCCACGTAGAGTCGCTGGGGTGCTGGTGCCTAGCTCCAGCGGTCAACGGGCAATCAGGCGGGGTACACCCTGGACAGACAGCCAGTCCATTGCAGGGCAACACACACACAGGACAAACTATCATGCATTCACACACCTAAGGACAATTTAGACAGACCAATCAACCTAACATCATGTTTTTGGACTGTGTGAGGAAGCCGGAGAACCCGGAGAGAACCCACGCATGCACAGGGAGAACATGCTAACTCCATGCAGAAAGACTCCAGGCTGGGAATCGAACCCAGGACCTTCTTGCTGCAAGGCAACAGCTCTAACCACTGCGCCACTGAGCAGCCCCCAGCAGTGACGCTGGCCTTGTAAACATCTGCAGCTTGTGTTTGAATGTGTAACCCATTTCTGCGATGGGATCAAGAGAACGCTTTCTTGTTCTGTGAATTCATGTGTGAACTACTTCCTTAGGTTGTTGCCATAGTGATGGACATCTTCACCGACAGGGACATATTTAAGGAGGTCATCGATGCGACTCAGAGAGGAGTGGCTGTCTACATCCTTCTGGATGATTCTCGAGTCAGAAGCTTCCTGAAAATGTCCCGGAGTGTTGGCATTAATGTCCTGGACACACCGGTGAGACACGCCATCAACGGGAACAGACCTGAATGAGGAGAATCCCTGTCCTCAGCAGAGAGACGGGGTTGTCCTCTCACTAATCTGAAGTCTCTTTTTATTGTTTTTCTGTCAGAATCTTGTTGTTCGTACAGTTCAGGGGCAGCAGTACCGGTGTCAGTCAGGGTGGACGTTCCACGGAGGTCTGGAACACAGGTTTATCCTGGTGGACTGTGAGACAGTTTTGTTTGGGACGTACAGGTGAGTCAGTCTGATCTTTGCCCGCCCAGACGTCTACAGCAATCAGTCGAATAACAGCGTCCTTTATCTGTTCTCTAAACCTCAGCTCCTGTGCTTTTTTTAAGCTACACCTGGTCGTTTGAGAAGATCAACCGGAGTATGGTGCAGGTGGTCACTGGTCTGCTGGTTTCTTCTTATGACGAGGAGTTCCGAAGACTCTATGCCTTCTCCAGTGTTCCTGCAGTCCTGTCCAACTGGAGTCAATCGTTCCCCAACGCTACTGAAAGTTTGATGCAGAGGCTCCCAGAAAACAGATGTGTTTCCCTCAATCATCTAGACCGCAAAGCCATGAGAGGAGCCCAGCATGGCTCAAGCTGTCACATTGATATTCAAGAGAGGCAAAGTCTTATGTATACAACAGGAGAGCTGCAAAAGTTAAACTCCATGATTCGTTTGAAGATGGAGACCAAGGGCCTTGGTGTTTCTGCTGCTGCTGAGAGGAGAGGATCCAGACTCAGGGCCAGCAGAGATCTGCAGAACCTGGAGCACCAGATTCCTTTCCACTCTGAAACATCTCTCCACAGGTGGAAGATGGACAAATACATGGAGGAGAACTCTATGGGCCCTACAATGCCTCTACACAGCAGTCACACGGGCTTAGTGGAAGCTAGGTCACAGCAGATTCAGATGATGCCCACCTCCGTCACCTCTAAACTGGAGGAAATGAGGCGAAAACGACTCAGTATGCAGGAATCTGCCAATCTCAGGAAAAGATACGAGTCCTTAAACTCTGTGGACTCAGCTGCAGAACCGAGAAGGTTAACGTCTGACCCGAGCCAGATGATGCCAAGACTGGATCCAAAACCCCCAAACCGTTACAGCCTGGACGATAAAAACCCTAACCATGCAGAGAAGGGCCCCATTTTCTGGAATGGTCAACGATCTCTTTCTCATCACAATGTCAAAACGACCAAAGATCAAAGGGTGATCCGGGGGGCGCAGTCGCTCTCTAGGACCAAATCAGATGCTGATCTGGATGCTAAACTGACACCAAACCTGTCCCGCCTACACTCCAGCAGTCTCAGTGTCCATCAGTCCAGGATGATGGCATCTCTGATCGAGATCCCTGAAGAGAAGGATGCCTCCAACGCTTGTGTGAATGGTTTTGACTCAGTGCTCATGGCACAGCACAGAGAGGCACCAGAAGACAGAGAGGCTCCTCTAAAGGAAAACTTAACATCAGTACCACAGAATGGAGATCAAGTAAGAGCGACATGTGGGTTCAAACAAAACATCAAAGGTTCCTTTCCTCCAAGAGAAGAGCGTGGATCCATTCACAGCAGCCCTGAAGCAGACCTACAGGGCTTCAGCTTGTCTCGAGGACTCCAGAGTGACCACGGAAAGGAAGTCCACACAAAGCAAGAGGGACAAGAACCTCAGAGGAACGCGAAAACAGAGGAGAGTCCAGCGCTTACTGTCGGAAAAAAGGACCTCTCCATAAGAGAGGGGGAGTCGGTCCATAGGAGGGTCTCTCTGAGGTCCCAAAATGCCTTCAGACTATCGCGAGCAGCCAAGGAAGACCTTTCACCAGCATCTACTGTAAAGCCAGCTCCCAGAAAAGGTCCGTTACTAGGAATCTCCAGGTCACAGAACTCTCTTACTGGTTCGTCTGTACCAGACGGTCACAAGTCTCTGTTCTCCCGGCTGTCTCCTCATCATTCAAGCAAAAGAAAGACGTTGTCTCTGCTTTCAGTGGAGCAGAAGCAAAGCTTGAGGAGCACTCAGAAGGATGAAGGAGCAAACGTCTCTCAGACAAAGCCAGAAAGAACTTACAGTCAGAGCGAGCTGTTCCTTCAAGGTGAAATGTTCCCTGTGGGGAAGTCCCAGAGGAAAGTAAGTACCTTAGACAAACTCAGAACCTCCTCCCTGAACAGACGGGACAACGACCACCAGGCTTCTGACAACAAGCTGGGCCGGCTCATTCAGCGCGTGGGGAACCTGATCAACAAGAACAAGGAGGCGGGCCACTTCGGCTCCACATAACAACCCAATGTTCGCTCCCATCAGTGTCCACCACGCATCAGCGCAGCTAAAACGCAGCACCAGTGTCTTCTCAGGTCTTCGTTCGGAATCTTGTGATTGGATCCAAGTCTGAAGATCCCGTCTGCTGTTCTTACCTAAAAGTGTTACGGTGCTTCAAACGTCCTCAAAGTACGGGACATCACATGCCTAGCATGGATTCACGTGTCTTTTAGTGTTGTTGCTGATTTTATATTATTATTCATGTCTGTAAACAGAGCCAACAAAGAGTTCACGTTTATTTTTGTTAATCATCTCAGCTGTCTCTTCTGAAGGGCTGAAGACGATAGTGTTCTTGACATCCTGATCAGCTGTACGGATGTGTACTTGGGTTATGTTTGGTTCTGTCAAACTGCAGCTAATCCCGGGTTATTATAACCCACAAGCACTTGGGTTAGGGTTAGTTAGCTTCCCCAACGATGATGACACAAGCAAAAACACCACATGACTCAGCACTTTAAAGGTTACGTAAGCGTTTATTTTCAAATTTCTCACAATTATCTTGATAAAATAACTTTTTCCTCTCCAAATAAAAGTTTCATACCCACGCTGAGCAGAGAAAGTTCATTTTCACTATAAAATAAAGTCAACCCAGAAAAGGTTCAGATGAAATACTCCAGGCACTTGTTTCTTTCATCGTCCAGCTCCTGGGTTTCAATCTCAAACTTTTTCATGGCAATAAAATACTGGACAAAAGGTTCCCCAAGAGCGCAGCCGATGACCTGATCCTCAGCCAGCGCCTCCAGGGCCTCGTCGAGCTTCACGGGAATGGTGAATTCTCTCTGCTGGCTCGGTGCTTTGTTCACGACACTCTCCATGTTCAGGTTCCTCCTGATTCCATCCAGTCCTGCAGCTACCGTCGCAGCCAGCACTATGTAGGGGTTGGCCATGGCTGAGCCAAGCTTGTTGTCGATGTGCATCTCCCTCCCGCCGTGACACTTGATGTTAAAAGAGCTGCTGTTGTCATTGCTGCCGAAGGTGGCGTACAGCATCCGTTTGGGGTCTTTCAGCATCTTGGCAATGTGGCTGCGGCAGCCGAGGCCTGGTGACATGAGACAGCTAAGGGCGGCGGAGTGGGTGAGAAGCCCGGCCAGCCACCTCCGGCCGATCTCAGACAGTTCTTCTGCCTTCTCGCCGCTGTGAAACAAGCTGCGCCGCCCATTAGCGTCCCACAGGCTGTGAGAGAGAACCCCAGCATTGTAAAGGCCATCGTCAGTGAAAAAGCTGGCGATGTAGCTGTGCTTACGAGCCATTTCTTTGATGCCAGTACGGAAGGTAAAAGCACTATCAGCAGCTCCAATCCCAAAATCTGGCCTCAGATTGATCTCCATCTGGCCTGGGCCACTTGCTGATGCGATGCTGTCGATGTCTGCACCCATGCAGTACATGTTGTCCACCAGCTGCTGGAAGAAAGGAAGGTCGTGGCTACTGAGGAGGGTGGTGGCGGGGAACAGGAGTGTCTTTGGTCCGATCCGGTCAGGGGCTCCCAGGACGCAGCATTCATAGGTGAAGGATGAGTGCAGGGAGAAGCCCAGGCTCTGGAGCTGCCCAAGGAGCTGCTTGGCAATGAGGCGAGGAGAGGTGCGAAGAGGGCTCCCTGTTACGGTGCATGGGTCACAGATAACCCGCGCTGTCTGCTCGGCCCAGGGTAGGACCCTGAAGGTTGAAAGGTCAGGAATCAAAAGAACATCGCTGCTGAAGTTTGCAGTGTTGGCATGGTCCACCTCATTGCTCTTGGGGCTTAGGGTCAACTCCAGGTAACTTCTGGGCATCGGTACCCCATATACCGCTTTCTCCTGTAAAAGCAAGGTGTTCATCAAACACTGGTTTTATGGGCTTTTACTGAAGCTCGTCTACCATTACATTAAAGCATCAGCAGAGCTATGCTCCAACACAAATTTGAACATTAGCGACACAAATCCATACGTGGAAGAAGCGGACGGGCACCGTCTTGGACCGTGACACTCCGTGAAGGTCGGTGGCCTCAAAGCGAACAAAGGTGATGTTTTCATGAGCAATCTGCTGCTTGATCCGCTCCATGGAAGCAACAAACTTCAGGTTCCCAGATAACTCAGTCGCTCTGTTTCCGTTATCTGAGAAATTCAAACATGCATTAGTGAAAAGTTTAAACAACACCTTACTGGTTCAGTAAAGCTGCTGAACTCCAGCAGCTTCTGGTTTGCACCACACGCTGTGTTGTGCTGAGTCAGCACGTAACAGGAAAACAATTCATGGTGTTAGGTAAAAACAAGAACTGCTGGGTACTGAGACCCTAAGGGTTTCTGCACCAGTGAACAGTTTCAAACATTATAGTCAGTATCCATAGTTTTAATGTAAAATCCATGAATGATTCTCCTCTGAGGGCTGAAACTGATTCAGTCACGGGACTTTTAAACAAAACGGAGTAATCCACAAATCTTCAGGAGTTTAGGAGAGAATCTTCATTATGACCAAAGCAAAGCGTCACTAACCAGAGTAGGAGTCTCTGGGCTCTCCCCAAGAGCTGCTGTGTGACTGAGCACGCGTCCCAACTCCAGGCAGCCTATTTGTTCTGCTGGGTTGGCCGAATGAGCTGGATGCATCCATGGAGAAAGGCATTTGAATAGTTGTGCTGTCTCTGGAGCCTGCCCCTTCTCTGGAACCGTCCGTTGGAGGTTTGAAGGTGCTGAATGTCCTCTGAGGGCGTCCGCTGCCCTCCTGTCCATTGGGTTCTCCTCCACTGCGGCTGCTGGTCCTGTGGAGATACGTGTAGGGACATGCTGGTTTTCCCCTGTCACTGGTTTGGGGTTTAGGCAGAGGACTGTCCCTCAGCATGGTCTTTAGCTCCTCTATGGTCTGGCGATAGACGCCGATTTGAGACGATGCCTCCCTGCTGCAGTCCTCCTCTCCAGCCTGTTCATCCACCCTGTAGTCATTAGTCCTCTCTGGAGGTCTTGGAGAACCCATAGAGACAAGTGAAGGAGTCTCTTGAGGGTGAATAATAGATGGACCTGGTCCTCTGCTCCTCATGTCCACCAGAGGCCCATTCTTCCCTGTTACCCAGACTCCCTTCTTGTTGCCCAGGCTCATCCGTGGGCCATCTGTTTGATCTTTGCTTCTATGCTGACCTTCCTGGAAAACACAACAGGTCTGTCACAATGGTCGGAGAAGATCCAGTAAGCATGAAGAAATACATCAGTGTTACCTGGAGATCGTCAGAGTCATTCATTTAGTCAGATTTACAAGGCTAACCTTCTCCCACACAGTTACTTTATACACAATCAGAACAATAGTGATGGATTAGAAACTTCTGATGGACCCATGAGATCCACCACAGAGCAGCTGGGAACTGGCTCCAGCCAGCTGTAGCTGGAGACTAACTCGTTGCTACGTTCATCTGATTGGCTGATGGTGAGGGCTCATGTGGAGTGAAACAGCAGCGCTCAGCAGTTCAGCTTCCAGAAAGAAACAGGAGTTTTTCCATGAGTGTTACAGAGAATAAAGTTGTCAGCTGTTGAGAGCAGAGTGAGTGCTAATGCTGAGGAGTTGATTCGTTAGAAATGATGACAGCCATCTTTTAAAACAGAACTCTCGTCATGAGCGAGTGAGTTCTAGAGAAGGTTGGGATGGCCGCCCAACGCTCTTTAACCAAACAAGCGATTCCTGTCACGCTGGCAGAATTGCTCCAACACTAGGGCTGGGGGCAAACGATTATTTTTAAAACGATTATTCTGACGATTAATTTATCGAATAGTCGACTATTCTAATGACTATTTAGAAAATTAATCTAATGATTATTTTTCTATTGCACAATTAACAAAAACCAGAAAATCTCAAATAAATTCCTCAAAAAAATTGATAAATTGTTTCTGTAAGAAAATAAACACTGCAGGCCTTCTATTTTGTATAACACTGCTTTTATTGTGTTGGTTGGTTATGTTCTAGTGACATGTAGAACTTGGGAGTGCAGGCTGCTGCCTGAGAGGTGGTAGAAGACGGAGTGTCTCCATGCTGCTTTGTTTTGGTCACTTATGTGCGTGAGGCGAGTGGTGTTACGACCCTTCCTGGGGAGTTTGGCTCGTGTGCAAAAAGGAAGGGACAATAACGGGATTTAAAAGTTAAAATGATGATCAGGTTTATTTACAACAACAAAAATCATAAACCTTTCCATCCACAGGTTGGGAATAATAAAACTAATTCTGCCTGTGGGGAATTAAAACAAAGTACAAATAAGTAGGGATGTCCCACTGGGCAAAGATTACTGGGTTCTGGACCAAAACAAGGATCTCCAAAGGTCCAAACTCTAAACTGGGTGGTTAAACCAAACTCAGGTGATATTTTAAACTAAACCGAAAACCCACAACACTCTAAATGTAATAAAAGGGAGATCTGCACCACAAAAAAGATGAACTCTAAACCAAAACGTAACAGCTTATCCAAACGCAAGAAGCTGTTAGCGAAAATGCTAACAGTAGCTTTACCAACATTAAGTTCAAGTTACCAAGTTTAAATAAACCAAAAACACCCAGCAGCAAACAGACCAGCACGGAGGAGAGACTGCTACCACCAAAACAGCTCTCCTCATGTCTGAAAGAAGCTCCTTTATGAAGGGAGAAACGCTCCCGGTGATGTCCTACATCTGCGGTAGAGACGAAGCAGCGCATCTGACCCCAGAAGTTGTTGTCCGTTGCCGGGAGACGAAGGCGGGCAAAACAGGAAAGGAATCTAGTAGCGGACGGCCGTTGTTACGGGTCTTCGGTATTTGGCTCAGGTGTTAGTGAAGGCGGAGAAGAGGGCGAGCTAGAGGAAAAACAGGCAGATTCCTCCTCTATTCACAAACTCCT